TTTCACAACGAGTTGTTTATTGATAGTAGCATTAAAATACAAACTATGATACACCAAAGATATATATTATTTATCCCTTCAAGATTTATAAATTATGCGCATCAATATAAAAATTAGTGCAGGAGACGAGCAACTGGCATACTTAATCATAATGATACTAAGATTTTGTGTACATTTTTGAAATTATCACTGTACTGTATATTAACTGAGGGCTTCCCATCATATCTACTAACACAGTTACTTTAATTAATGCATAGCGGTTCGCATTACCCTGCTGCTAATACATAACCTTTGATTAATTAAATTCAGGAAACTCGAGAAGACAAGACAGACATATAATTAAACAAACAAGTTCACAGAATATTAATTTTCATTCTCAAGTCTCTTTATGTAATATCCAATTAAAAACAAATATAAATTACACATAAAATTAATTTTATTATTGGCTGATAAAAGATTCATTAATTAGATACAGTATCGCGTACGTATGTTATATACGTGCTTGACATTTTCTCCATCTAGTTAACAGTAATTCAAGTTTTATGATATATTAGCAAGGAATACTAACACTATACCGATTCAAAAAAAATACATAACAGCGACTGAAGTTCAACCACAGAGACAAATAAAAGCCGGAAAATCAAATAACTCACGTCAATATCTTAAGTAATTAAACCCTAGCATTTTGGGGCAATATGTGTCACGTCATTTAATACAGGCCATATACAGTAGACTATTATACAGTACAGGTTAGCGCTTTACAATTAATTAGTAAATGGTAAGGAGGTCAAACATGAAGTGTAGCTATTAATATATAGTTTCATAAATCTTACCTTTATACACAATCGAAATTTTATTCAATATTTCAAATCCATACTTCTTTTTACGAGTTGAAAAGAGATAAAACTGTCAAAATTGGAATGTCTAATGGGCTTGGTTAGCTGTATAGAACTATCTTTTACCTTATTTGACAAATACTATTTAAAATATTTGGATTTCATGACAACATTCGTACAATGTCCAATTTTTGCGTCACATTCCTCTCTGCCGCAGTACTTTCGTTCAGTATTTCGTTAACAATGAGCTTACAGAGAGTAACAGTGAAGATGCATTGTGCGTGTGTGCGAATCCAAGGAAGACATTACTACTTTTATACAAATCTCCTACTAAACTATGACGTAATTCCAATAAAATCGCTGTAAAAACAACTTTGGAATAGAAACATATAATCTAGCTATCAAACATCTGCTCAATATGAAATGATGCAAAATGTGTAATAAAAAAATAACGTAAACTCCAGATGCTTTTACACATTGTTCTTGATCTGTCCATTTTGGATTCAAAATCAGAGGTGTATATATAAAAAAAAAGCTGTTCAGATTTATAATTTGTTCCAAAAGACGCACCCAAAAGACATTTCGTTCAATATCAGAATTCGTCAGTTGGGCTGGACGTTGAAAAAAACAACAACTGTAATTTAGATTATTTTTATCACATGGCGTAATTAACTCAGCACTAGGTGAGACACCACAGGGTGGTTATGAAGGAGTAACGTCACATAACATCGTGATTTAATTCTTCTCGTTTAGCTGGTTTTGCGTTAAAAAAACAGGAGGAGCATCAACAATTTTGACATGGATGCAACGCGAATGTCATTTGAAGGAAGTATAATTTATTAAGCTGGATCATGCGAGATTTGGACTATAATGAAATTATGGAGATTTATTTAAACAGACCAGCGGACATCTCACGATGATAACCGTGTGATGCAATGCTGATACTTTATTAGTCTCTATACTTTGTTAAATGTGTACTGTGGGATCACTAACAACTAAACCACTACATAAAGTGAAAGCAATAAACTTTTAATGTCGTGTTCATAAACAATTGTTACGCCCACTGTATACATCATGTGTGCTAAAACACGGGGCAAATGCTAATTAAAACTTAATGACAATTCTTATATATTACAATTCATCAGTATTAATTAAAACACCAGAATGATCACTTTATACATTTTTCTTTGTATTACAAAAGTTTGCTACACTGCTTCGCATGTTTAAAATTAGCACTAACACTCTTATGTAAATGAGAAAGAATTATTTATATTCACGGCAAAGCTAGTTACTAAGACTACTTTCCGCCGTCCCTAATTTCGAACTACAGACCAAAGAGAAGCCAAGCAGCAGTACCCTGTCGACTCCATCAACGCTAAGAGATTGATTGCCACTCTTATCACGCACCTACAGCTTAAAGTGCGAGAAATATTTTGTGGTCTCGCATTTCGAAGGAAAACAGTTACACTATACCTATAAAACATAAAAACGAATATTTTAACAATGTTGTAAAGAAAGACAGGGTAAAGAATTTTTTTTATTTCAACGTATTTCAATATACCTAAGCACTAAATTAAATTTTACAAAAAAATGGGCTTCAGTGTTAAGTAGAAGGATCTGGAGGTTGTCATTGACACAAAACGTACGAGAAGATCTACTGAACCAGGATTACAGAGACGTTCGAATAATTTATTTGAGGAACTGAAGAAATGTATGAAACAAACAATTGAATTATTGGAGCATTATTATAATAAGATTTACTATCTGAAAACAAAACAAAAAATTAATACTCACCTTAGACGTATTTTAATTTAGTTTTTCAGTAAAACCTAAATATTATTTCCATATTGATAGTACATTAATTCAACTACAGAATCCAAAATTAAATGCTATTGTAATCGTATCAAGTTTTAAGAGGGTGCCACTAATTAAGGTTGGGGTCATATTTCTTGTATATGATAAAGTTTGTGTTGGTGTTCAAAGCTGTCATACTTGCCTTATATAATTTTATATATGACAAAGTTTATAAAAAGTAACAATCAAAAACGGTTCTCGGTTTTGGAGGAGTAGAACGTCGTTTGTACTCAATTTAAAAACAAAAGGAATTTAAATAGTTAAAAAGCAAAAATTCTTAATTGTTAAAACAGGAATTTTAAGTCACCTTGGAAGCTCTCTACAGAAAAGCAAGGTTAATGACTGAACAGGGCAGGCTAGGGTGGCTGTGCGCCCTCAAATTTCACTCTGGCCCAAACTAGTTCAAAAATCATATCAATTTTAAAAAGCTGTACGATGTTATTAAATCGTTAAGAGACAACTTGGGTGGGACGAACGAGAATGCTATATTATATTTCCTGTAAATTCATATCACTGTATGGTGGCTCCCCATGAAATAAGTCGGGCCTGTGAGTGAACATCATTACTTGGAATTCATCAAAAAGGAAGGGGCTTAGTCTACTCTATTGTGAAAATTAAAAACATCGTCAAATAATAATAAAGAATTATTTGTAATTCTGGTAAATATTCTTTCTATGTGAGCTGCAGTATTAAACTGGAGAGGATATATTTTTTCTCCAGTAAAAACTATTGTTTCATATAAATAGTTTCTGATCTACTCTATCAGTATTAAACTGGAGAGGATAGATTTTTTCTCCAGTAAAAACTATTGTTTCATATAAATAGTTTCTG